TACGTTATCCAGGGTGTCCTGTGTTTGCACACATTTTAATTTCCGACCGATTAAGTGATTCAAATGTGTAATAGTAATACCATACTTTTTTTCACAAATTCTCTCGACATAAATTGATAAACAAAAACTTTGGATATTTTGTTTGTTATATTTTCTGATAACACGTTATCCAAAAATATTTATGCGTACATTTAGCTTCCGATGTAATAAGTGACCGAATATGAAGTTTACGGAGCGGCAATGTTTTTACGTATTTCTGTTCATGAAGAGATAATTGTAATGGAATGTTCGAGGATATACTTCCTGACCACCAAGATGCCAAATTGTGCCAAATACAAGACAAATTACTGTGCTTAGAATTGTTAGGATATTAATGCTTAGGCCGTGTTTCATGAATGCCTTCTGACACTGAACTTATATCGGAACTATGAAGCACATTAGAATTGAGGCATAGGTTGTCCTGGAAGTATCGATGTGTTAAAGAATTGCTAAAACGTGTGTTAAAGATTGCTAAAAAGGCTGATTTAGGTTCTCACCGGTTATCAAGTTGACGGACTAACGTGCTATATCCTTCATGTTAACTGCGTTAAGCTGTTCAGGAAAATTGAATGTGATCCGCCTTGCTAGACAAAGTCTCAAATAAAAAAAATTGATGTGCCAAAATAGACAGACATTTGATGACATCCAGATCGAGTTTTCTACTATTTAACGTCGGTGCCAATTTCGAAGATTCCAGTGTGGATGGTTGGGTAGGCAATCAAGAAGCAGCTTTGATAGGACAAACTGTGATAAACTAATGTGGTACTCGGTGACTGGGTTCAGAAAATGCAAAGTTGTCAAGTCCTTATTCGTTCTTATTTAGATTTCACAAATCTCTGCTCCTTGACTGGGAACTAAAATGCTTTCCAGGTCATTTTTCAGAAGCGTTCGACACAAAATAAGTCTTAAATAAAAAATTGCACTGATGAAAATATATCCATTCAGGATTGAAATAGGCCTATTTTAATAGTTCAGTGTTGTTATTAGGTGAGCTAAATATCAACAAAATGAAGATTACATGTTTGTTAACTTGTTAAATAAATCTCGACTCGCCTTAATAGCCAAACTTCTCTGCAGGAACAAGCCATGTCTATGTAAGATTTAGTGATATCCTTGTTTATCATCATTAGTGGCCAAATATCATGGTAATTTATCATGAATGTGTCATCATGAAACGAATAGGATAAGTTTCATGTTGTTCACCGTTGATTATAGCAGATGTTGATAGTCAGTACTTGTACTTCTAATCAAATACAGCCGGCCACTGATGACACAGTTTCTTAAATTTTTCTTTCGATGATTTCTATTCTAGCAGTTACCGGACCATTCTATTAACAGCAAATAATAATAAGTCCTTGGTTAAATGTATTGACACCTACCGCATTATTTATTGATTGTTGTTAAATTACTTGAATGTTTTTATAGATGTTAACTTCATCGTCAAAGAATAGTCAATTTTGGTCAAATTTATTGTAAAGCAAAGAGACCTTTATTATAGTTACGCTTCACTTTAGTCCCTGAAGACCTAGTGGGTCCAGTCACAAATGCTTATTACTCTCAATTCTCTCATTTATTGAGAAGTCGTTATTTCCTCTTTATTCTTGATTATGAGGATCATAGCAAGCATGGTTGAATTAATATTAATTCAACCATGATAGCAAGTATGTTAGAAGCTATAAACTATGTTATGCAACTCAGCTCTCAAGTGCTGCTGCTATCACGTTTTTAGTCGGTATGGTTGATACCATGTAATGGTGTGGTACCTCTGTCAAAATGATAGGTTCCTAGCGTACGATGTAAACGCAAGGCGTACGATGTACCTCTTGACGCACGAAGCACATCACAATACACTCGCGAGACGCACGATGTGCACACGACGTCCACATAAGCCACACGACGTGACAGGTTTACAGTTGTTAACCGCGCTATGGTATTCCTACGCGCATCCAATTAATGCGAGTGTTCACTCTACTTTAAAACATTTATTGCTGCGCGCCAGGCATTGCAATACAAATAATCAATGTCATTGCCGTTGCATACGTGGGCACAGTATTTTGATTGATTTCTATTTTATGTAATCGATTATTTAGCGAACCTAAAGCTATCGTCCACGGAACGCTTCCACAAATTTCATCCATTGGATGAAATCAAATTCGGATGATATCATTTGCCAACTTTCAAGTCAAGCATTTCGATGCCAATTTGAATCCTAAATAATGAATAGTTCTGGACAAAATTAAATCTAATGAAGAAGTTTCAACTACTACGCCATAAATATTATTGAAGAGCGATTCGTCTGTTTTTTGTTTAAGCTGGCCGTACTTTGTCTTCGTTTCTGTCCATTAAGTTTCATTAGACGTGTCCGTTGCTATAGATGTTCCTTTACCCAAGTGTTATTACTATCTCTGGTCAACCATTTTTATTGCATAAAATTGAGAAAATTCAATTTATTTGTGCCTAGTTAAGCAGAAATTGAATTCGAAGGTTAATATGGACAAGGTTACTTTATGCAAGGTTTGTTAAGCATTGTCGATCTTGAGCATTAATGTTCTGGGTTGAGTTATGATTGATCTAGATTTGATAATTATTGATGCCTAAAATGAGTACCGTAACTGTGTCCATTCCTGTGACTAGAGGTAATTAAAATCAAAGCAATTAGAAGTGCAAGCAGATTTAGGATGTATTCAATGTATTCATGTTTTGAACTGACGTCAGAAGTTTATACTTCTACACCAACAAAGTATGACTTTCATATTGATATGCAACTTCACTTTATTGGTTTGGCGTAAAGTCTATAGTTGAAGAGGCTGCCAATGTTACAGGAGAACAACACTTGGACGTCATTTTCCCCATTAGCCTCTAGTGATTTCTTTAAAAAAAACGAGGAGAATGATGAGATTTTAAGAACAATGCCGTCTGGTTTGTTCCAATGAAACAAAAGTATAAATAAGTCCTAAAAAGCGCTGATGAAAATCTGCCGTGTTCACACTCTCTTATGAGGATAGCTCGTTTCCTTGTAAATTCTGAATGTATTTTATTTTATCAAGTCTGTGCCATGTCACATTGTCATCTCAATATCGCGACGTAGGTTTCTAACTTTAGCGTTTTTTGTACTTCGTAAATCGTTCTTACAAGATCCGCGGAATGTAACTTTCACAAAGACGCTTGCGCCTCGCTTCTACTGCCAACATTAATTCCAGAATTCGAATCAAAGAACCATCATGTCTTGGAATTGCTAGCCGTAGTTCTTACAATTATACATAAACGTTTTTTCTTGAGTTTATCAGGCCTGTTGGATTGTAATTATTGCCAAGAATGTTCTTCGTTATCCCATGATCATCTTTTCTTTGTAGTTTGTTAAGCGCACTGAGCACTGCCGACTCTCAGTTGCGTGTTGCTGGCGCTCTCGCATCACATGCCTTCAAATGCACATCATTTACTTGATAATTTTTCGTTTGTTCAATTTGAGCACGTAATTTAATTAATACGTATTACGCTTTCTAGAATAGAAGCGTCTAAGCGTTCTATACTTTGCAGCTTTCCGATCGACTTTTAACATCTTTATTCCATACTTTCACGCGCATTGAGTGATGTATTGAAATAATACTTTTTCAAATGTGACAGGTTGATAGCTCTAGTCGTATCTCTCTCAGAACATATTGTTTATGGCTGCAAGAAATTTATCGACCTCATTGATTCGCCTTTACTTACTGTAGCTACTTTCCCCTGTATCGTAGAACGTGTCCACACGATATTCTTAGATAATTTCCTCTTGGTTAAAGTTCTATTAATAATTACTGATTTAGTTTTAAATATTGCTTATATTCGTTACCAAAGCGTGTACCATACAACTAGTCGACAGGATTAAATCTTGTTTTGGCCATTCTCGTGAATCTCTGAGTCATGTTCTCCATTTGAGCCTAGTTTTCTAGGGTTACAATAATAATAATAATAAATGGTAGCGATGTATACCATCGAAGTAATTCGATTAGAAGTTTCAAAGGAATTCAAAGTGATTGCGTATCGAGCAAAGATAATTCATAATAGTTTGAGGAGGGTCGAGGGACTTAGGTCACCAATTCTGTTCACATGATAGCTTCGTGTCAGTTGCTTGGGCCGCCCTTGGGTAGCAAGGATTTGCTGCAAAGTTTTCTGTGCCTTTTCAAGACCTGCATAGCTTTTTTGTTGAAGTTTGTCTTGATAGATACGCGTCAGTGCCCAAGTGCGTCTGGATCACAAACTTATAAGCATTAGCCATGATGCAGTCGTTTCTAGCAGGTGCTTCCTGATCTTGTTCGCTCCTTACGAGCGAATCAACAACTCCCTAGCATGTTTCCCTTGTAAACTTAATAAATATTGAGCTAAATTGCGAACCTTAGCCCTCTATTACCCCCGGATTGCTAGTTTCCACTATCGTACCCCATTCCGAGGGCATAGTTTATCCATTGTGCCAACCGTTGCAATATTTCATGGTAGGCATTAAATGTCATGGATATTACATGTCATGCACATCACATGTCCTGTACATTACATGCCATGTACATTACATGTGTACATCACATGTCGTGTACATTACATGCCATGTACATCCCATGTCGTGTACATTACATGTGCATATTACATGTCATGTATATTACATGCCATGTACATCACGTGTCCTGTACATCACATGCCGCGTACTAGTCTGGTCTTCACCTCCATATTATCAGATCCTATTTACACGGGGCGTCGACTATGCATGCGGTTGCTTCCTAATGGTAATGTCGCCCTTACCACTTGACAACCTTAATATTACTTACAATAACTCTTTTTGTATTGCGACTAATATAATTTTGTCTATCAATAAAAACATTTATTAACGAATTGTTTGTATTTCTCTCCTATCACTACTTTTATCTAGAACATTGCGCTATCTTTACGGCAGGAATTTCACCAGCATGCGCCCGCAAATAGACTTTATGTTTAAAATTTCAATTCAATTTTTTCGTCAAGTTTAATTGAGTAGAATTATTACATAATGAAATTCTAATCGATCCCCAAGGTTACACTTGCAAGTTCCACTGTTTTTATACATATTTCAACAATAAAATTATATCATCGCGCTAATAACGTATAGTTCAATGAACTGACCGTTTATAAAGCGAAAATATTGGGAGATTAATACGTATTCACTTTTACATGACTTTTCATTTTAATCTATTATTTTATGTCAGTTATTATACAGAATCCCCCGTCTCAAATGCCACGAACAATTTCAATATATCACAATCGCTAAATGATATCAACTATCAAAATGAGAAGAATCTGTATTCGACCCGCGTGTCCAGAGATCATGTCATCATTTCTTACTTTTCTTCGCGTCAATAGTTAGTACTTTTTTCTATTGACTTCGCGTCAATAGAAAAGTATTGACTACGTCAATACTTTTCTCTTCGTCAATTGCTAGAGCAATTAAACAATTGACGCGAAGCAGCAAGTTGCTGCTGCAGCTGGCGCTTCTTGCTGCTATTTAGCAGCTGCTGTTGTTGCTGCTGCTTCATGTCATCAATTTTTACTTTTCTTTGCGTCAATAGCAGCAAGTTGCTGCTGCAGCTGGCGCTTCTTGCTGCTATTTAGCAGCTGCTGTTGTTGTTGCTGCTGCTTCCGCATGCGTAGTTGCACGAGCTGTTGTTGTTTCAGAACAACTTGTTCTTGGATGCGACGTTCCAGCTTACGTTTCTCTTCTTCCAGCTTACGTTTTTGTTCCAGTTTACGCAGCTGTGCAGCTGTTAGAGACGCAGCAGGTGCTTTATCAGCACCAGGTGCTATGCCAGCACCAGGTGCTATACCAGAACCAGGTGCTATACCAGCAGCACCTATTGCCTGACCTCCGCCATCTGTTTCCCCTATCGCCGTGGTCGCTCCAGCGGTAGATCCCAAACTCTTATCTACTCCACGTGATAAGGTATCAGTCTTGTCGGTTGATATACATTTCTTATCAGCAGACTTGGTCCCGTCATCAGCGGGTGTGAGGATGGCATCGCGTCGTCGCATTTCCTCATTTATGCGCTCCATTTGACGCATGATGCGCGCTCTCAGCGCCGCCGCCTCCCCTACTGCCTCGTCTGCCTCTTCCACCACATGCCACTTCTCCCCGAACTTCCCCCGCTTGCTTGCCGGGGATTGCTTCACCCCCGCCTCACGGGATGGCTTTTCTCCCGCCTCACGAGGGGGTTGCTTCTCCGCCTCACGGGGTTGTTTCTCCGCCTCAAAGGGTTGCTTCTCCGCCTCACGGGATAGCTTTTCTCCCGCCTCACGGGGTTGGGGTTGCTTTTCCTCCGCCTCACGGGGTTTGGGTTGCTTTTCCTCCGCCCCATGGGATTGCTTCTCTCCATGAGGTTGGGGTTGCTGGCTGCCTCCCCGCTCCCTGAGGAGAGCCACGTGCTCTGCCAGACTGAGCGCACTTCGCTGAGGTTTCGATGGAGGCGCTGTAGGAGTTAGTAAAGTAGGTGTAGGCGCTGTAGGCGCAGATGTCGGAAGAGTAGATGTAGATGTCATCGATGCAGTGGCCGGCGATGTGGCAGTAGATACATTCGGTGTCGTAGATGCAGTAGCTGGCAATGTGGTATGTGCAGTAGCATGAGCTGATGTACAATTCAGGTTTGGCAAGTCAGATGTCACGGGCCCAGTTTGCGACCCATCCTTAGAAGGCGCAGGGACAGCGGTAGAGCTAGAGGTAGAATCTCCAGTAACATCAGACTGACTTGTAGACGGAACAGTAGTAGGGACTGTAGACTGCGTTGAAATTTCCTCAGCAGATGCAGCATTTTCGCTGAGAATTTTCTCGAATTTTTCTCTATTCGCTTCAAATTCCTGTCTTCTCTGTTCGAGGGCAAGCTCTTGCTCCTTCTGGAGTCTTGCCTTCTGCTCCAGCTGGAGCTTGCGCATCGTTTTCTCCATCTGCTTGCGCTCCTTCTTCTCCCTCTCATCAACACCCCGCGCTTGTTTCGCCCTTCGTAAAGCTTCGCGCACCAACAGCAATTCTTCTTCGAAATCCAAACAAGTTCTTTCTGCGACTAAAGATGGCGTACCAACGTCCACAGCTGGTGGAATAGTCCAGCTTTCATTACCATCTGATCTCAAAGACGGTGCCAGCTGTTCAGCCGTAATTGCCGAATTTATTTCCATCTCCGCTTCTTTGTTTCGATCAGCAGCCACAATTTCATCAGGTTTTTCAGTTGGTGGCGTCTTCTTAGATGCTCCACTGGAAGCAGGTGCATCAACTACAGGTGCTTCTGCGCCAGGTGCAACAGGTGGAGCAGGTGTGATGGCAGCTGCTGTAGGTGCTTCATGACTCAGCAGCTGCTCTTCAGCTGCCTCTACCAGCTCTTCTTCAGCTGCAGCGGGAAGAAGAATAAGTGAATTGCGGCAAAAAAAAATATTAAATTTCATAATAATTCGCGATATTTATATACTAATATAAAAACTCAAGAAAAACATTTTCTTTCCCACTTCAATCACATTAATGATGTGCTCTACCACATTAATTACAATTCATGACTATCATACACAAGAGCTGGATTACATACGCTTATACCGACGAAATATTCATATTTATTTCACTCGCGACTGTTTTAGCGCCGATTCATACTTCATAAATAAATAAAACTTTTAATTAATATTTTCAAAGCAGGTAATTTTTAGATAAAGCATAATAGTTGCCAGAATTACTAACTTATCCCGTAACCTATCAGTGAGCAGAAGTGGGGCTTGATAAATACTGTAAAAAGGTAATTTGTAATAATAGAACAGATACAAAATTTCTAGGTTCAGCACACTAGTTGCCTAGTTTATCACCCAACCCACCGGTGGGCAGGTGTGGGGTTAGGCTGGTTCGCGGGAAGGCGACGCCCGCGGTTCGCTCACAAGCTTGTAAGGTGGAGAGCGTTACGCGGTGCACCACACCCACCACCTGCAGNACGTAGCCACGTGGCCCACTCACGTAGCCACGAGTCCCACTCACGTAGCCACGAGTCCCACTCACGTAGCCACGAGTCCCACTCACGTAGCCACGTGGCCCACTCACGCAGCCACGAGGCCCACTCACGTAGCCACGTGGCCCACTCACGTAGCCACGAGGCCCACTCGCGTAGCCACGTGGCCCACGCACGTAGCCACGTGGTCCACTCACGTAGCCATGAGGAACATTCACGTAGCCACGTGGCCCACACACGTAGCCACGTGGCCCACTCACGTAGCCACGAGTCCCACTCACGTAGCCCCGTGGCCCACTCACCCAGGTCTGAGAGCAGGAGGGTTTCGCCGCCCACCAGAGATATTCCCTTCTTGCCGGCAACGCCACCCAGCAGCCCACCACACCACACCGCCGCTGTCACCGCCGCCACCACCACCACGACCCGCACCCCACCACCGCCGCTCCACGCCCGCCACCCGCCGCTCTCGCGCCTGCAACAACATGAATAAATGTAGCATCGATAGCAATAATGTTGACAATTGCAAGCAATCAACAAAATCTTCGTGAAATGAATTCTATAGCAGCATCAACGGTGATAGTATCAGTTAAAATTACGAAGAAATTCTTTTTTTTACTAGCAAAGGCTTTTTATGAATAGGCAGTCCACAAGGGTCTAGGCAGTCCAAGAGGGTCTAGGCAGTCCACAAGGGTCTAGGCAATCCAAGAGGGTCTAGGCAGTCCACAAGGGTCTAGGGCTCTAGACAGACCACAAGGGTCTAGGCAGTCTACAAGGGTCTAGGCAGTTCACAAGGGTCTAGGCAGTTCACAAGGGTCTAGGCAGTCTCATGTTATTGCTATGGAAATGACATGACAATCATTAGCCTTACATGTTATTGCTATGGAAATGACATGACAATCATTAGCCTTACATGTTATTGCACTGTAAATGACATGACAATCATTAGCCTTACATGTTATTGTAATGGAAATGACATGACAATAATTAGCCTTACATGTTATTGCAAATAACAATGTCTTACGAGTTACGACACCCGCTCGTAACTCAAGAAGCCTTTATGCGGCGCACTACTTATATTCTTTGAATAAACAGCAATAGAACAACGCAATGCAATATTGAGCAGGAAAACCACGTAATTGTGATGTTTGTACGCAAGAGGTAACAAATATCCACCCAAACCTAACTCATCTTCCTCCTCACCCTACACCGGGCCCCACTGTCCGTGTGGGCCGTCTCCCACTTGCAGAGTGGACCACTGTAGAGGGCACGGTGCCCCCCCAGCAGCACGTGGCCGCCCCACCCTTCCCGCCCCAGGAAGCTGCAGCTCTCCTCTGAAGGAACGAAAGACCAAGTAAAATATTATATTCATCATACAATCTTATGATGCTTTGGTGGTGGCTTCGTCCGCCTGCAAATCATCCTACCTTGCCAGGGAATGTCAATTTTGAGCGCAAACTGGGCGTACACGCATCGGGGCAAGTGTATGTGTCCTCAGCGGACTAGTTCTGCTGCGCTCCTCTGATGGTTGTTGTGGTAATTGATCCTCCTGCTGCTTGGTTTACAGTGGAGTGTTAAAGTTAGTTTAGTTGCCACATGTTTACTAGCGCTTCAGCTATCTAGCTATCTCGCACCGAAAGTCACAATGAACATCACCAAAGAGGTGGAAGGTATCAGTTATCGAAAGTTTCTCAAATCAAAAACTGTGCATCACCCACAAGGGGGCGGAAGGCCTCAATTGTCCACCCCGCTGAAGCTGGCTCGGAAGAAGCAGCATTAGCATCTCAAAGAGACGAAGTAACAAGGAGGGACAGGTGAAACGCAAGAGAAACTAAGACAAGAGCTTCTACGGGGCATCGGCCGCCCGCACGAGAGAGACAGAGAAGGGAAATGTAAGGAATCCTACCTACATAATAACTTAACCCCACAACCGAGACCTGCAGTCAGACACTGGCACTGAAAGCAGCACTGAAAGCCCTCAGTGCTGATTTGAAGTTCATCGTAACAACACCGTCAGTGCGGCAGCGGTTGAAAAAATCGACCAGAAATGGTCCTAGGGTTATGACATTCCCCTTAAGTAACGACATCGGCAGCAGATCGCTGGCACACTGATTGTTCCGCAGCGCGCGCACTGCAGCGATGATGCAAGTGAATTCTTGGAGCACGCAGTCGAACGAGCACGGCGCAAATGTTGCCGATGGAGCATGTTGTGTTGCTGTAATTGCCCATCCTGGTAGTGGCGACTAGGTTAGGGAGGGGGTGATAGGTCAGTTTTTCCGAGCACTTTAATGCCACTGGTAGTTCTACGACCATCACTGGCTCGCTGACCCGCTAGAACCAATTTATTGCATTACACAACACCCTGGACAAGCTTGGTACTCATTTATCAACCAGAGTTGGATGAATGGCTGAGTTGATCATGAGGTGAGCTTCCCGGTAGAACTTGTCCTCAGTGGGACTCGAACTCGGGAGCTGGGTGCGAGAGACAGAGTCTCTCACCACTGCACCACCACAGCTCGATGGAGCATCGGCTGACGTTGCTCGCAAAGCAGAAATTTAGTTTCCAAAAACCGCATGGAATTCCTCCACGCTTACGTCACCCAAAGCCTCCATATGACCTCTTCCTATAAGTTTACCCAGCGAACGCCACGGCGCTGGAAGGTCACTGCGTTGTGTGTCGACAAATGCAAGACATTTTCTTGATGACGAACACTTTCGATATTTAGGTTTGAAGGTGAATGAATATGGATAGTAATACATCTTTTATCTCTTGATATACACAATAGATATCATACTTGCAGGTATAATAGCATCAGCAGGTCTCCATGTTACAAGTATGAGTAGAAACAGCGACGCCAGACGTATTACCTCGGGCCAGTAGAGGGGCGAGGTTACGGGCGGCAAAGTTGTCGTACTTCTCAGCGAAGAGCAGCACGCGCTGCCGCAGCACACGCTCCTCCTCCTCGCCTACGTCTGGCACCGACGCTGCACACCAAACATGAATGGACATAGTTAAATGACTGACATTTTCACTGAGTTACTAGGTATAACCTGCCACAATAAGCATGGTACCGTTCACGAAAATGTTGCTGAGACGGATTAATTCATTTCTTTATATTTTTACATAAATCTTCAAAATCAGAAAATTTCAATCTATTTTATTCATCAATTTTCAAAATTTCAATCTTTTACCTCTCCAAATATATCTGCGCATTCGCTATCACAGCCACAGTTTGTCCCTTAGACACACACACAATCATTACAATCCAATCATTCCGTCAAACACTCACCACTCATCAAACCCTCATCATTCCACATCACACTTCATCGCACATTACACCCCATCACACATAAAATACACACCCCCTCCTTCCATTCCATCTGTATGTATGTATGACTATTTATGTACATTGTACACCATCTCCCACCCAGCCTCCCCATCATTCAGAGAAATAAATGAGTAACATGGTTACGTAATGGGTAATAAATGGGTAAATAAATGAGTACTTTCTACAGGTAGCACTTGAACGCACATGTGCTCATGCCAAACCGTGTTAAGATGACCCACAAAAGGCCAAATAACACACCACAAAGTCTCTCTGAGCGTTAGCTGGATAAACTCATGGGAATAGTCCATTTATTTTGTATGTACGTACATCATTTCCCACTAAGCCTACCCATCAATTGGAGAAATAATTGAGTAATATTGTCCCATTAGTGACACATTCTACAGGTAGCACTTGAAGGCACATGTGCTCATGCCAAACCGTGTCAAGATGACTCACCTGCAGCGTAGTGGACGGTATGCCAAACCGTGTCAAGATGACCCACCTGCAGCGTAGTGGACGGTGTGCCAAACCGTGTCAAGATGACCCACCTGCAGCGTAGTGGACGGTATGCCAAACCGTGTCAAGATGACCCACCTGCAGCGTAGTGGACGGT